AAAAAAAAAACAGGTCATAATCACAAATTAGCGCCGTTTTTTTCGAGCTGGTTTGGGCTCAACTCTCCAGTATGGCAATTTTGATAAAATTCATTGTGGAAGAGCTCAAACGATGCCCTCAAGATTGGGTAAATATTTCGCCGTTCAGTGTGATTGTGAGATAATGGCGATAGGATCGATTAACGATTTGAAATCACTGTTCGTACAACGAGAAAACGCTAACCTCCGAACAAAAAAGTGTGAGTTCGTTTTTTTTGCAAGAATCCAATCGTCCTTATGGACGGTGCAGTATGAGATTTCCATTTAATAAAAAGACGCTCACATTTTCATACAAGTCCATCACATCATCGAGAACATCAACGATTACGCCCAGATTTGCATCATCAAACTCCTGGTCAGATAGGTTGTCCTTAAATTTACTTTAATTAGTTTCGCTAACATAAGCACTGAATAAACTCCAAGAATTCCGGTTTATTATAGCTTCTAGCACGTGTGTCGCTCCTCGGACAATATGTGTGGGTGTCAAAGTGCATTACTTGCTACTACACCACCTCCTCATTCGCTGGGCGATTAGAATGACCGAAATTATCTCCATGCAATAAAGTATAGACTTAAAATAATTTTCACTAGGTTACTCACCAAGGCGTTAGGTTCGCACTCCGCTCTCTCCGATAGGTGGATGAGCAGAGAGGAAAATAAGGAAAGGCAGCAAGATGGACCGGCATTTGACTGTCTTATTACCTCAAGACAAAGTTGCAAATTTTTTACGTCATCTAAATATAGTTTTAACCACATAGCATAAAGTTGATTGTAAGTACGAATTTACCTGAAATCAATGGAAAAATACTCGTTAGTTCGACAAGTGTTGCTCTTCTAGTCAGTGACGAAGCATTGAGGATCTTAACAAGATATATTTTTATCAACTTGATTGACTACCTATGATATGATGTGATATGTGAGCGTTGTGAGACGACAGTTGGGAACAATTATCTCTTCATCGTTCCTCTGTCCACTAACGGGTGATGTTCTTCTGAACACCATCAACGCAGACCTCTTTCCCAGAACTTTCTTTCAATCACACCAACAATCGTAAGGAAGATCATTTGGTCATGAGGACGTGATGCAAAAAAAAGTTTCAACCGACAGTAGCGCCATGGATGCGAGAGATAATTATTGCATCCGAACTCTCTTAGTAAATATGAAAATAATGAATAAGACTCAATCGTGGCAAAAATCAAAAATCGAATCAAAAATCATGGTAGCACACGGAATCGATGCCACCACGGTTTTTTGTTTCTTGTTAATAGCGCCAGCCATACTACACCCATCAGTGGGTGCTATTACCGTCAAAGGGTTGACATGTCGCGCACAGAAAAATCCCTTCAGTGCTAGACAACTGTGTGATTTTCCCCCATCCTCAAGAACTCAGCCACTAGTGGATACGTCCGGGGCCATACGCACCCCATTACAGCTGGCACACACACATTTACGACCTGTTCATGTATTCACGGAACGTATCCGGCTCAATTTCAAACAGTGTTACTGCTTACATTCTAACAAAACGAATAACTGCAGAGCTGAATAGTTGACACCCAAACACCACACATAAACACTGATAAAGGAATACACGAATTCGTTCTTATTTGAAAAGTAGATATTTAGGTATCAACTATTAGCTAATTTTGCTTAGCGAAACCCTCGGCGAAGCCTGCACAACTAGTCATAGCGAAAAGACAGCATAGTCCGTGAAACTCAAGAAAGGTCTGCTTCCTTTGAACTTCGTTAGCAAGTCTCTTACTTTTCGGAAACGAGTAAACCAATACACACCGTAAACTAGGCCACATCCAACGGGTGAACTACATTCTTTTCAAAATGACAGCTCAGAAGGTGGTGAAATCGCAAAAACATACGTTTTCAATAGCTATGCTTCCTCGGTATTGCATGGTACAACATGAAGATTTGTCCAGGATCAGGCGACAAATAGCGTAAATAAGAATGGAACGGTCCACTGGAGACTGTGAGCGTAGATCGAATACCGACAGCATGTCAAGAACACGGCATATCTTAATAACAGTCCTGGAGAAAGATTTCGATACAAAGTCAGTAATATAGTTACAACAAAAGAAAAGCGTCTGGGCAACTTTACCTGAAAAATTGCCAGTTCGGTACGGTCTTCCCCAGGAACAGTCGGGAGCTCTTTCTGCTGTAACCGCTCGTGGATGTAACGTTCGGCTTCAGGAAATATTTCACCTTTGGGTACGAGATCACCCACTGAACACTGTGCGGCATGACATAACCACGCAAGGCACTATAAATCAAAAGGCTAAAGCTAGAGTTCTATTTATAGCGGTTTGAAAAATGAAGGAGAGAACGCACCACATGCACCTCAGGCCCTACAACACTTCGCTTCAACGGAATATTTCGTCTTCCTCGAACGATATCCCTCAGAGCTTTATCAAAAACGTCTGATGTAGGGGAAAATCATTAAAACCCATCACTAAAGTGGAACATCACTGAATTTTACCTGAGAATGGAATATCTTTTGAAGCCATGAGAATCAAATCCATAGAACAAATGTGTCCTCTGATTGAGCTTTTATCTTTTGTCGATAAAACTGCATGATCTGAACGAATCAACAGATTAAAATGTTTAGCTTTAGAAGAAGACCGATCCGAATGGTCTTAAACAACCAAGAGTCCGACTTACTGCCACTCAAGCACCATTTATTTTTGCATCACAAAATGAACGTGCCACTGTCGGTCTACGCATTGGATAGGATAGAGTTAAAATGAATTAACCGTGAATTAGTCAAAAACTCAAGTGGCAACAGCATTTAACACTAGAGAAATGAGGCCTCCATGGAACATGTAGCCAATTTGTAACCAACGCCAACACTTTTCTGCACATTTATTTGAATGTTTCAACCTCTAGTGCTTTTATTTCTACTCCGTATCCCTTAGAATAGCTAGGGGATCCGTTATCGAGATTAATAGAGGCCAGTGACTCCCAGTCAACCTCCCCTCAACCGGTGAACTAATGGTATGTGTAATTTGTGCCGGTGTCATTGAACACACTAAAGACATTCGAATATAAATTAGTTAATATATTTCTTCTCACTAATAGAACTGAGCAGACTAACGAATGAGACATACGTTCAGGAGTCGTACACATAATATTCAGCTTCTCTCTTTCGCCGTCAACAGTGACTTTATCCTTCGTTATCGTAGCAAAGGCATCGCTTTCTATAAACTCCTTGGCCGACTTTATTGTGCTTTTGATATGCTTAGACCCATCTTCTCTTCGTTGTTCAGGAGAACTGAAAAAACAGATATGGTACAAATTTATGAATGATTTTAAATCATTTCTCTCTCCCACCAACACCTCGTTCCCATAACTCTTACATTTCCTGGCACTTCCTACTTCCTTTAATATTTTAATGTTGATGTTTGTTCATATTGTGAACACTGCTCCGGTAAGCGAGACCTAGTGTTAAAGTGATCCTTTACCCGAATCTTAGCAGGGAACAACTGAACTGAATAAATGTGTAGCTGCTAGAGTTCCATGTTGAAGAGAAGCCTGCACGCCGCATGCAAAATGGGCGGATAACACCAAGGAGGAGGAATGTATTGGTGATACTCGATTGGCTTCCTCTTAAGCTAGGTCTTGCCCATGTTTATGTGCCTTGCCTTGATGAAGACTTACTTGAGATGAGCGTCGTTCATAGAAGCCATTTGAAATCTGAAACTATCCGAACTGTCATCGAACGAGAGTGACAAGTTTTCCAGATCATCTTCGAACATCAACTCGGTATAGTTGGCCAGTTGAGCATTCTTAACAATGTCCTCAATTCCTGTTGGCATGTAATCCTGAACAGTTTTTGCACATTATGGACTGCAATCAATGCGGTTTGGAATAAAA